TGAACACTAGATTCAGCGACAGCGAGAAAACCTATAGCACCTCTGAAATCGCCAACACCAATCACACGACTTCGGGAAATAGTTAATCACCATGATCTACTCTGTTCCACAACCTGACCCACTAACTAACTCCATATACATCCACACCATCACCTCTATGTCAGACTCCATGCGCCTCAAAACGATGTTGATCATCTGTGTCAAAGTTGCCTTGGCAGTCGCCTGGTTCACAGGATTCTTGCTGCATTCCACAAACGAGCACATCACTGGAGGTAATCACAACGCAAAAATCGAAATCATATGCATGAGCAATTGTGACTCACGATGATGTAACCCGAAAAACAACGCTAGTATCCATAGACCACTTCTCACCAGCCAGTGCTGGCTACCGCGACTTCTGATGGTTACTACCTTGCTCATGTACCCTACCTGCTCAAAACGATGTTGTAGCACGTTCGAACAGCAGTCAACAAACATTCTCCACGCACTGCAATTTCGCGACAAATAGGACCAAGTTAGACCCACACCAGCTTTAAACGACATCCGTTGTTCATTCTCGTCTGGAACTGTATAGGCCCCAACACAAAATGCCTGCCACACCTCATTTGAACTATAGGAAGTGGGCAAGTACCTTGGAAGGTTGGTGAAGCTAAAGCTGTCAGAAGCACCTTGATGACCTGAAGAACCAAACTGCGCCACAAAGTAGACCACACAAGCGAGCACATCGTAAATGTCCTCTTCAAGCCACAATTCACGACATCCAAATTCAACCAAACAATATCAAGCTTCGGCACATACACTTACATCGCTAAAACTAAAGCCTGAACTGTAAACCAGGTCGGGGTGATCTGCAAAGCAGGCCTGTAAGTTTCCTACTGGAATAGCAGCGACTGATTACGAAACGCAGCCAGTGACTTGCAATCCAAACATACAGAGTGACTTCGTGCACACACCTGAATGCGTGCCCCAGATTACACACACAGACAGACTAGAAATTATTGCAGGCCTCCTTCCCGAGCAAAAATTACGAACATAACAAACAGCCCAAGGCAGATATTACCTGTCAGGTGCAGTGGTGTCAGCAGACGCACAGACCATGTTCACAATTTCAGTTCCCAACTGGGCGTTCCTTCCTCCTTCCACACCAGCTTCTCCCACCAAATGGCCGTATGATATAAGTTTCTACACACATTGTGCCAACCAGACGGTCAGTTCAGGCTGAAATACTACTCTTTCAAAGCCGCCGACTGTTGCACATCGCTAGTAGTGTATGGTTTTTCGGGTTACTCACACACAGTTAAATAAACTGCCCGCACAATATATGTCCCTCCATGGCCGGCTCATCATGCAACTTAACCTATGGAAATAAGAAAAGAACAAAGCAAAATTTTCACCACTTTATCACGCACACAAACTACTTGACGATGTCATATGCAATCCACATTGTCCTCGTAAGGGTGACCGACTCACCCCTCGTTGAGCAGGTGTATAATCTTACATGCAGACAGTCCAGAGCTGGTTCCATGAGCTTGGACTGCTTCGTCTCAAAGGCCAGGCGCAAGGGCAGGATCACCAAGTCTGCTTCCGAACCATCTAGCATATGTCCGGCCTCAGATAAGGCTGCCGCAGCCGACTGTCCGGTACTTGGCTTGGCAGGCGATACGACCGGGCTGGTCTGCACAACCTTCTCGTCGCCTTCTTCAGGACTAGACGCATCACCTTCCGAGACATTGCCTTGGACAACAGATCTGCATTCAACCCTCGCACATCACCAGAAGCACAATGAAAGTGCCGATTTGCCGGTCCACAAGGAAGAACCGAAGACTGGGACGACCCTCCAGTAGAGAAAAGCAACATTGTGTACTGCCCGCATCAGCTTAGGAACACAGGCTTACTCAGAAAGAACAAGATTCGACCGATGGACTCTCCTGGACGATTGATCACTTCACCTAATTCTACAGAAATGGCCCAATGTACACAATAGAAAAACCCAACGTGATGTGTGGAAACCACTCCCCCTTCCTACTAGGCACAATTTTCCTTCCTTTCCAGCGCCTTCTAGGAAAAACCACGAAGGCGCCTACCACTGGCACTTTCCAAGTTTACCGAACAACAACTCTGATCAAACCAAACTCAACTTCATGTTCGCATTCTGTCCCACTTACAGCCAGCGCCTGATGAAACTGAGAAACTGAGAAATAATGAGGATACAAGGAGTAGAGGGTAAAACAGAGTCCCGAGAGCTTACATTTCATCCCGAAAAATGGGCTCGGGTTCTTCTTGGGGTGCAGGCGATGGTGACACAGGTTTCCTGTCTGCAATCGTACAAGCAAAATCCCCGAATTAGCAACGAATCGACGAAACCACGTCTGTTGTATACGGAACACTATGAAGAATGGCTAGAGTATGCTTCAATATGCCACGCTTTCCGATGCTTGGAACGTTCTTTCCTCCAACTTCTTGAAAATTCGCCACCATCCAAAAACCAATCGAATTCCCTTACACGTTTCACGAAATCAATCCCCAGAATATTTCGAAAAACGTTGCTCGTATTCAGCTGATGAATTATTCACTCAATATGTCACCCGTGAATAGATCGGAAAGCAATGGATCCTTTGGCTGAGGTGCACATGGTAGGGACAACGATTAAATGTCCTGACGAAATATAATTCCAGTAAACATTTCATTGGCATGAAATTGCGGGACTCATCGTGATTGCAGGGTACAGATGGTGAATAGCAGTAATTGACGCAGCCATCGAAAAGGTACGATATTGATCAACTTCAATCGGATCCGCAAGCACACTCTGTTTTCGTTTCGAAATCTCACAGTCTTCCGAAGACAAGAAGATGTTCCCAGCACTCTACTAGGTCACACCTCTCAACAGCGTATTTACAGAGCGAAAACCAAACCACTCGGATCGCCAGAAACTACAACTCACCTAAATACGCCTTGAGAGCAATCTGCAAGCTGCCGTACTTGCGACCCGCTGAATCCTTGAGCATGCTCTCAAACGCGCGTGTCACGAAGGCTCCCCCGGCCTCCGCCATGGTTGCACCCTTGCTCTAAATCAATCCTCCACTCTCATAACCCCGAACTGAATTCCTCTCCCCATAAGACGTAGACCAGCTCCAAATTTTCCGCCAATGTTCAAAAACAAAAATAACAAAAACATAAAAATGAAAAATAAATATTAACACTAAAGTCGGGCAACAAGGCGAAGGCAATGACGCGATTGGTCAGCATCCGTGGTGTAGTAGACCACGCAGAGGCAAGCAAGTGTGCGTGCATGCGTGCGTGCGTCCTTCAATCGGCCCCCGCTCAAAGGCGGCGAAGGTCTGATAGCAATGAGGGTCTGGGCGGCAAATAACACCCCCCCCCCCCGGCCGGGCACATCCACGTCCCGACCCAGGTGTCGTTTCAGGTCCCCAAAATAGTCATATTATCATCCTCTCATTTATAACTACTTAACTCATTTTTAATTAAAATTTATGCATGATACAGTTCGAATTAATTTAATATACATCACCAGTTTGAAAGTTTCGATTTTTTATTTTATTTTTATTTTTTCTGCATTCATCATTATAAGATAAATGAGAAAATAATAATTAGAATTTAAGAAAACATAAAAAAATTTACTATTTTTCGGTTTGTTGAGGGTTTTTTTTATTATTTTTTGGCAGAAATTTATTTTTTTTAACTGCTATATTACAACTAAACAAATAATTTTTAAGGTATTCTGATATTAAAATCCAAGTACATGAAAATCAATCTGAAACAATACAATATATGTAAATCATAAAGCTTTTGAAGCATCAATGAAAACAAGCTTCTAAATATTCATTTTAATAGATTAATTTCATTAGAATAATTGATAGAAGTATCATGACCCTTAAATATATATATATATATATATATATATATATTTATATTAGATAAACATATGTAATTTTAATATATGTATATATTCCTCCTTATGTGGCAATTTAAAAGATTTTCTATCTATACTTATCTAGTCTTATATAATTTTCTCAAGAGATGAAATAGATATTAAAGAACTGTTAATAAATTACAAAAAAAGAGTTGTAATAAATTATATGATAGATACAACAGTGTAAAAGAAAATCTCATTTAAGTTAAAATCTTCAAACAAATTTTGTTTAGGATTTTTTTTATAGTAATTTCGTCTTTATATAACTAAATAAATATTTTTATCGTAGAAGCCAACATATGTGAACCTCATTTTAATACATGTCTAGATGTTTTAGGTAAAGGATTTGATTGTATTTTTTTATTTTTTATCTTAGAATGGTAGTAAATATATAAAAATATGATATTTTTATTAAGTTGATATCAAAGCTAATTTTATTCATATATATAGCTATATGTATATTTTATAAAATATAAACTATGCATCAAATAGGCACTAGTTATTTTTTACTGATATTTAATTATATTTTCTACATTGATTTTTCTTAGTCTTAGTTTTTTTGTCATATCAAATTTTGGTTGTTTATCGTGTAAGAGATTGACAAGCATAAATAATTAAGATATATTTTTTATAACATTTAATTTTTTTATCTGTAATGCATTGACAACAATTACTTTACAAAGTTGTGGATTTCCGCTAATAATAAGTCATCATGTACATTTATGATATCTATTTGTTTTTTCTCAAACAAGTTTAAAAACTATGAGATAAATAAGTTTATTTTCTTTGAAAACAGAACACAGATAAAACTATAATACAATACCGAAAGTTGTTTCTTACCTTTCACTTTCATAAATTCTTTGAAAGACATGCTTCGGCTTGTCTGCGATGGCTGGATGTAACTTTTCTCAACACTCACCTGAGATGTCCGTTCATCACAAAACGTAATTCATCCATAAATGGATGTAAATAGTACATCCATTCCCACCCTACCTCCTTCCTCGAAGTCCAGTCTAGGGTAGCCCGACGACGACGACGCGCTCTGGTCGCGGTGGGGGGGGGGGGACTCATTGATGACGCAAATTCTGATCGGCGTTATCGCATTAATCGTCGTTTGGGATGCTCTCTCGGATTTCGAGCACTTGCCACGAAGCGCGATGAATAAGTTTGTTGTTGTGAGTGAATCATGTTGTTGTCAGAGCTAGATTTAGGGTTTCGGGGTTTTTGAAAGGGGCGAGATTTGCTCAAGTGACGAGGACTGGGCATGGTTTGATGGAGATGGGAGGTTGATCCTGAGGGTGGATCGTGTGTGCGATGAACTGTAGCGATTCTAATGACCTGAGATTGGTTTTGGTCCCGTCGCTGCATTTGAATCCGTGTGCATTTGCATTGCGCCTTCGGGAGTGGAGGGAAACAGCTTAGCGTCGGGAAGCGACGAGGATGGCCGACGAGGAGGCGGTTGCGACAGCTGAGGAAGCAGATGGTGATGAAGAATGTGAGGATATGGCGAGGAATCAGCCTCTGGAATCAGAGCCTCCAGTGTCAGTTTTGAAGAAGGCTCGCCCGATTGGCGCTGCTAGGAAGCGCAAGATTGTGCATCGTACCAGATCGGGCAAGAGGAAGGGTATGCGTGTATGCACTTACTTTCTGGCTTAAAACGTTTCTAGGGTTCGGGAATTCGTGAGTTAGAGTTTAATTGGTGTGCGGGGATGGGACTTGGCAGATGTGGAGACGAAGACGGTCTCGCTCAAGAAGATGAAGGAAGCGGTATCGATGGACTTGTCGGACCCGTCGCAACTCACCATGAAGGAGATCATTCGTAGGGCAGAGGCTATTGAGAGGGCGGTACGTTTCTGTAATTCGAGGGGGAGATGAATTGTATAATCGTTTATGGTGGTGTCTGAGTTCATCAGTGTATAATCGGGCTCGACTTACCTTGCAATTGTTAGGCTTCTCTTGGGAGCAGATGACTCAGTCGCAATTTTGGCCGAAGGAAGCAAGCAAGCATGGATGGTAACTGCGTTGATCGTGAGGTATTGTTTCTTCCAGTTGTCGGATTAGTGTTCTGAAACATTTGAACTTGCAGAAAGCGAGGGAGGAAGCGGCCAAGAAAGGCAAAGGGAAAGATAAGAAAGGTGCTGGCACCACAACTGCATCAAAGGACAGGAATACTCCTGCAGACCAGGATATGTAAGCCTCTATGTTTGTCAAGTCTTGTTGGTCCAGCAAGGTACTGCATTTTGGAAATTTTCACACGATTTGTCTCTTGATTGTCGTAGATTTTGAATCTGGGTTTGCTGACTTCTTCTGGTCTGCTAGGCCTGCCCAATCTGCTTCTATCTTGACACCTCAAGTGACGATCGTGAACGGGCGCATTGTTATCAATCAACAGAGTTTGGTGGTGGGTGCCCAAGCCAGCACACGAGAGGATACAAATACTTATCAAAGGGTGGAGGAGGATAGACCTAAGCTCAATTATAATTCTTATTCCAATCGAACACCCGTGGAGAGGTGGAAGCAAGAAGACACGGATTTGTTTTACAAGGTGTGATGCAGGAGGATTGTTTTGGCTGTAGATATGTCTTCTGTGATTAGTTTACTTTCCGGACGCGTGACGATAGTGGACCATGGGATTAATTCACCGTATTTCTTTCCTCTGCGTCCGCTATGTTGACCATTGCAACCCCTACTACTCTATTCGTATTCACCCCGAGTTATATGGAGTTAATGCGATAACTCAACAAAATGTTATTATCCTTTTCGGAACTACATATGTGCTATTCAAGGATCTTCTGTTTTTGTAGTTAATGGACGTTTGGGTTCCCATCGTATGCAGGCACTGGAGCAATTTGGAACAGATTTTGAGTTGATACAGAATTTGTTCCCAGGAAGGACAAGAAAACAAGTGAAATCGAAATTCAAGAACGAGGAGAGACTGAATCCACTACGCCTTTCGGATGCTCTTGGTCACAAAACACAAGGTTCGTATCAAGTGACAAGTCATTTTGTCCATCTAGGCGTAAAGTGCAAGATATTGTTGCCTACAAATCCGATTGCCGTACTAATGGATTCAACTGCTGGATTTCGTTGCTACAGATCAATCCCACCACTACAGAGCCATCCTCGAAATGATTAAAACAGAAAAGCCAGCTGCAGATTCGGATGAAATGTTGCTGGAGAGTCTTCTGCAACCTGTCGTGACGGACGAAAGGGCCAGTGATCAGGTTGGTTGCATTCTGGATCAGGGTAGGAAAGACTCTTCTTTATTTCTTTTCAAGTAATTACAGGCTTTGATGAAGTGCTAATGCTAATGCTGAACTGGTGTTGCAGCCCTTACAAACACAAGCGAGCACTTCAGGGGATAAAGTTCATGCGGAGGACAACGTAGATGTAGCTATGAACACGGTAGTTTTAGACAAGGTGAAGCCGGATGATGTAACTGCGCCTGCATCTGAACTAATCGATTCCACAGCAGCGGTTTTGCCCCAGTCTGAGGTCGAAACAATTACCGTGAAGGACGATCCACCCGCGTCAGAAGCTCCTGAAACTCTTTCATCTCATCAAAACAAGAGTAAAGCCTCTGGAAATCCACTCGGCAGCTATGGGAAGGAACCCCTGTCTAAGAATCCCCGGGGTAGCTATGGGAACATGTCTAGGAACCCCTTGGGCAGCTACAAGAAGAATCCCTTGGGTATGTACAAATAGCGATAGACTTTTTTTTTTACTTATTAGTTAACCCATCGGTCTCCACTTGCCTGAAAATCTCCAGAGAATTTTGTGCGGCATCTACTTTAGTCCTCCAAACTTTCCGGGTTTAGATTCAAGGGTGTTAATAGCCCAACGGGAGTACACATGAGTCATTACTGCTACTGAAAGACTATTCTGGCAGAACCTATTCGACCTGGTTACAGTAGCATGTGAGGCTTTTCTACGTGAATCACCCTTGTACAACAGGCCAGATCTCATTGAAAACTGAAAATTTCAGCAATTTTGCATGCACATCTTTGTTCCACAACCAACTCCATCTTGCGGGGTTCTCTCGTTTCGTTCCAGTTGGGTTTAGTACAAGTGAAAAAAATTCTCTGTTTCTGAAAATGTACATATTACGTTGGTAGGTCGTCTATTAACAACTTCACAGTAAACCAAGAAAATTGTTTGTCACCTTCTGCTGCCACAACATGCCAGATCCGTTCGCTGTGAAAGATTCTCAGGTTAAATAATATCAGTTGCCCGCTTTGCTGGTTTTGCAGTATCTGATGTGGCATTTCTCTCTCGATGTGCCACTATTAGAACATGAGTATAACTTTGGATTGGAGATGTTTCTCAGACAAGGAATTTGGCGCTGGAACTGGCACTGGCACACACACCGACAAAATGTCCTGCGTTCTAAAACTTTTGGTGGTTGTGTTCCTCTCTTCTGTGTTTAATTGCTGGATCATGTAATCCACTCTTGTGCAGGGAAAGACTTGATGTGGGTGATTCGAACGCCCTCTGAGTACCACAAATGGTTTTCTAAAATTGAGGTCTGGAGTTTTTACTATCTTGTCGATCAGTCTGTTACAAAGTGATTCAATTTTTATAGAATCGAATGAGCAGATTACGAATTGGGAGAAGTGTACACAGGTTAGCATTGCCATTGGAAATCCAATCCAAGTTTGCACATAGATGCTGAATACCAGATGAAGTTTGCATATAGATGTTAAATCTTAGACGGACTGTTCTGTTTATTTATTCATTTTTCGAAATATAAACTAAAAAAAAAAAAAAAAAAAAAAAAAAAACTCGCTATTAAAACTAAATGCTTACAAGTTGATAAAGTTTGAGTTGTGTCATTAAAGATATCAATCATAAGACTTTGTAATTTTGTGTGATTGAATTGGATTTAGATAAGACTAGACTCTACAAAAAAAATTATGTAAGAAACAATTGTAACACATATTGCTTTCTGTTCAAACACAACCATATTTGATGAAGATAATAAGTTTTTCTTGCATAATGATTGTACAGAAGCTTTTTTAATTTAATATTTCTAAATTTAGTACATTCTACGAATACGGTCTAAATAGATGCCATAATTTTTTTGAGAATGAATAATGTGGTTGAATATGAACTTTGTATGAACTTTGCTATTGTGGTGGCTTGTAGAATATATTAATAATGATAATAAAAAAAAAATTAAAAATATATATCCTAATTTTTCTCCTAAAATAAAACTAAACTAATCTTGTAGGAAGTCTCATTTAAAGATCAATAAGAAGATATAAATTAGTAAGTATTGTAATTTACATAACTAGTTTTTTGGCTTCTAATTTCTTTTAAAAATATCTGATAAAAATTTCAAAACAAAGCTTTAAAATAAATTTGTAGAAATAAATGTCCATTCTAAGAACATCAAAGATTTTAACTTAGTTACACAAAATAATCTCTATTTTTTTATATATATAATTAAAAATTAAATAATACAATATATATATATACATATATATATATATATATATATTAAAATGTAGAAGTAGACATAATATATCTTTCCATCTATTCAAAGAAGATAAGGTCTTTTTTGAAGATTTTCATTTTGATTGTAATGTCATAAAGGTTGTGACAATTTAAATAACTTAGAAATTTTGCAAACATTAGTTTATGAACTAGTTAATAATTAACTAGTTCACTAATTCTCTTAACTAATAATTTTTATAATTCACTTTTTTCTTTTTTATTTATTTATAAAGGAGTCATAGAAATGTATTAAAATAAATTGATTCTTAGTTTTATTTTTTTCCTGTTTTATGTCAGTTATTTATATCTATTTTTTCAGTGTTTGTAAAAATTATGAATATCTAAGTTCAATTTTTTTTTTAAAATGAAAAGAAAATTTTATAAAATAAATAATAAAAAATAATAAATTAATATTCTTTTTTACATTTGGATCTTGGTGCTTTATTAGAAAACATGCAATAGAATTTATAGGAGTGGGTGTTTATTTGTGAATTTTATGTATTTATAGTTTAGAATTTTGAAAATATTCAAAAATAAATTTAAGTCTTTTTAGATATAAAATACATGTTCGATTTTAAAAATTCAGATCATAATTGATTACATCTTCACAGTAATAGCATGTGTACTAAATAAAGTTAAAAAGTGATGTTAACATATTTAAGTGAATATGCTGTGAACATGTATTTCATTTTTTTTCTTTTTTTTCTTTTGAAAAAATTAGAAATTTCATTAAAAATATGCATCCCTTGCATTTTGTGTAATTTTTATCAAGTATGATAAAAGATTGTACATATTGATGGAGGGGTCAAAGAAAACCAACCCCTTACTGAATTTTGCGCCATTTCTGTGCAGGAATTGACGACTTGAATGCACCCTGTCATATTGTATTATTCTCAGAATGGTCTAGAAAATTACACACAAGTGAACATGCACGTTCGTGCTATTATTCAATATTCAGAACCATGTTTCATCAGAAAAACTGTTGGAGAAATACAAAAAGACAAATCTGCAAGTTGAAAGAAGGTTTTTATTGCAGCCCCAGTTATTCCACAAAACAAACTGGGGTCATGAAGACCTCCTCCTCTGTTTCAGAATTTGCACCCACATGCAAAAATCACACTCCGCATTGAAGATCCTTGGGAGCCCTTTTCCACTCATGTGGAGCTTGTGCCAACACTTTTGTGATCCCAATTTTTCTAACACCCTTTATGAGAGTCGGAGTGTATGCCGGGGAGGACTCACAAAAGTTCAGCACTGATATGTGTAAGTCGGTTTGCAGTGGCGATATTTTTAAAGACATCTGAAGTCACCGTGAAATGAGTCATTACTAATCCAGCCCCCTGGATCAATATCAACGCACAAGGTTATCATCGAAGTCAAAACAGCTTTTTAAAGAGGTTGTAGAAAAAACAGCAAATGGTTAACTCTCTTGATTGATTTTCAACAGGTCTACCAGAAAAGGGCTCCAATGCATGCACTGCAAATCAGGGAGCGACAAATCATGTGTACTGGTCTTGGTACTAATAAAGCGGCGATAATAAATCAGCTCATGAGACAAATCTAGAGGTTTTCCCACCAGCTGTGTGTTTCGAAGTGGAATTTAAGCGCCAGGTTCCTGACGGTCCGAAAAGGATTGAGAATGGCTTGTAATGCGTGAGAGTTGGTGCCAATCTCTCCCCTTGACTCACCACATGTTGACGGATTACGCAGTCATAAAAGCAAATCAACCCAGCCACGCCACTGGAGCTCAAGCACTTTGTGGCTTTTTTCCCAACGCAGGTGGGATCCACGAGCAGTCTGCATATGGAAGTCTTAACCATTGTAAACCTCCAAGTCAGTTGGAAGGGCCGCTGAGAAGGGTACTCGATCTCAACCACGGATAGCCCAACAGATCATCAAGCCTCGTCGACTACTGCAGGTCAGTGTGGAACTGATTTTCCCACTAAAGAAGAATGCATGGCTTTAAATCTGAAGCTGTCTTAGACGAAGCGGCTTGCTGGACTGATTGCTGAGAGGAAACAAAGGTGGTACCTGACGGGGGCACATTTCAGGCCGTTTCGATCTGCAGAACTTCGTACGGCCTCTTGTATGCAGATTCTTCGAACACGAGGATTGGATGAGTGGTGGGAGTCACCGGAAAAAATATACTGTACGTCGTCCTTGAATCCCCGTCTAACGTGGTACCGTGGTCAAGACTCGAGAAGCAGCTGGCCATCACCATCGTGACGAGGGGGTACTGCACTATCGGAACATCCCGAAATTGCGTCTTAAAGCACAATGATCTGTGATCCAAAGTTCAAGTTATTCTGAATACCCATGACTGCGATGGTTGAGGTCAGGAATATTAATCTGGCGGAGGTTAGTGGTTAGGTCCACAGCAAGAGCCAGACTTCGCTTGAAAATTCGTTGATTTAGATTGTTTGAATCACTGCGCACTCAAGATGTCAAATATTTGGATGTTTTTGAAAGACTGTTTTTTATAGAATTACTGGAAATGGTCAAACCCAACTGGTTCTCTCGTGTGTATTACTGCAGACTCGTTATCGTGCTGGTCACTGTACACACTGTCGATTACTGTAGATGATTCAGAGAGTCAATCTCAGTGCGCCTCGCAGGTCTCACATACAATTTCTCGCATCCAGTTGGGGGACTACAGGTTCTGTTTTTCGACTCCAACTAGTTTCCAGATGCTAGCACTGAGAGAGCAAAAAAATTCTCTACGTTTTGCAAACCTGTGCCTCCCTCGTTTACCACAAATTGTCATATTCAGATGCACCCGGCTCAGTTCTGGAAGCAGTATGCTCAGTCCTTCGACCACCCACATCCGCTGCGAGTCACTACAGAGGATCTTAGTTGTACAAATGTCTCACAATCATACGCCGCAATCATTTTAGTCCTCTATAATTATTAGTAACTGCCAAGAAGAGAAATAGAAAACTGAATAGCGCTCGATACTAGAGCCGACGTGGTCTGAAGAAGAGGTTTTGAAATCCAAGTCACACAAAACACAAAACCTAGTCATGGCCGTTCTGTACTTTAACAATTGTATGCTTTGAGATGTGAACTCTCCCACTGTTTTGTGAAGCCTTCAGTGAGAGGCATTTCAGATGTGATTCCAGGATCCATTCTTTTGCCACTGTAAACTTGATCTTTGTCAGGGTTAGCCATCAGAGACGGTAGATAACCTCGTGTCGCCACATACTTCAGTGAGTTGACCAATTCAATGTGCTCACTGATAATGTTTCCACGTCACGAACCAAGAGATTTTGGCAGGCAGTTCCGACTTCGGAGCTCGTCTCCAGAGCTCGGCACCTGCAGACAAAAAAGTGACAGTAGAAGAGTATTGATCCAGCTCTCGTTTGTCCGAATGCCATGTGTGAAACGCATCCTGTATTGTTCAGGATACCTTATGTGCTGGACAGTGCAGACACTTAAGAACAGGTTTTCATCACCAAAATAGTGAATAGTTTGCTCGATGTGGCGTAAACTTTACACACAAGAGAGGGATCAGTTCTCCACAGTATTGTAGAGGCACATGTATTGAACCCAGACAACTTGAAACGATTGAAAGTTGCACATTTGAGCTGTAAATGTGGTTGTAGAAAGCAGCTCATATTTGAACATATATAGACTGTCAAATATACACTTCCCGTTCGTTTGAGGGAAAGTACCATATGCGGCATTGAGTTGAATTGTTGTCTATAGTACCCAATGCCTTTCCAATGCATGTTATCACTAAAACATGGCAAATAAAGGTAAAGTAACCAACAATGAATTACACTTACCGTACGTGGTAACTTTACGATATCATACTAAAAACGGTGACTCTTGAAAGTACACAGAAGTGGTAAATTTGATGATAAGTTGTTTGTTCTTGAGGTCTTCATGCCATTGGTGTGTTTACAAATTAAAGTGCAGATGTGAACCTTACCCCAATCATAAACTATCTTTTTCAGTATTTCACAATATTAATCCAGGTAATAAAGTAGGATTCTGCACATTTTTTTCATCCCCTTCCCCTCATTTCTGTAAGGAAAATCAAAATCAACAAAAAAAAATATAATTTTAAAATAAAAATCTACCTTTAAAACGAGCGATATCTTTCGAGTCATCTCTTGTGACATGAGAAAGTGGCCTCATGTATAACTACTGAGCAATCAAAATTTAAGAGGGCCATGTGCCGGTTCTCACAACAACACATCACCCAAACATACCTTGACGTGCATACCACTCAAACCATGGAGAACCCTCACTAAGAAAGCCGATTGTGTAGCAATCAACCAAACCCAAACCATTGAAGAAGCGCTTTGCCCTTAGTAACGCAAACTGTACAGGAGTGACCACCCCATGAGGATCACATGGAAGCTTGAAAGAAGCGGCAGCAATATCGAACCACCGATGGCCAATCTCGAAAGCTGCCAGGGGCATGCAGCAGTCGTGCATGGTCCAGGGAGCTCACAGCAAGCAGAGCTGCAGCAACAGCAGCTGCCAGGAGTAACAACAGGGCTGAAAGGCCCACTTTAGCAAATGCAGGTGCTACTCTGCAGACCCTCGCGAGCTGCTTCCACACTCACTGCCCACGCCACTCGAAGCGACCAATGCTCTGCTTGCGCCACCACATCCAGCTCGCGTTAAAGCAAGTCCCCGCCCTCGTACTGTCCTTTATTGATCTCTGTGAAAACTGGTGCTGCATTTGTTTGTTTGTCCCAGGGCTGGGCTTGCGGGGTTTTGCAGGAGTGTGTGTACATCGCGACGCGGTGTGGTGCACGGCTTTGCTAGGCACACAGAGAGACACACAGCGCAACTCTACTACTACTAGATTCCTCTCCCTCTCTCTCTCTCTCTCTCTCTCTCATTCACATATATATATATATATATATATATATATATATATTTCTTAATTCATGCGGTGGGCGGCATCCCAGCCTCAGTTTGATTTGCGAGCACCGATCAATAGATCCATCATCGATATCAACACGATTGTTTAGCAAATTGGAAGCCAAAGAGTAAGTGAGTGAGTGAGTGCCCACTTTTGGCAGGGCCACTGAGATTCAAAAAACTGAGTGAGTGAGTGCCCACTTTTGGCAGGGCCACTGAGATTCAAAAAACTGAGTGAGTGAGTGCGTGGCGGCCTCGGTAGTTGCTCCCTTTATACCCCTCTTCAAAGCGCTATGACCAGGATTCGAACTTGGGTCAAAGTCAACTCCGATGAGGCTGAAGCACACGTGTTCTGTAAAAAAACAAAAAAGCAAAAAACTTCAAAAATTTTCTGGGGCGTGGAAATAAAATTTTTCTTATTCAATGCCCCGAAAAAGTAAAAACTGACGCCAATCTTTCCCATCCCTTAGTTGTTTGTATTTTGTCGTTTCTTTCTTTTATTAGGGTTTCTACCTTATGGATCTTCTGATTACTTAATGTTATGTGGCTGTGCCTTTTGGAATCAAGACGTACCACTATTGTGATCGTTTTGTATTTGTATATTGTTTTTATGGATTACTTAATATAGTAATTGAAGTAATAAAATCAAACTATATTTATTTGTTTTATTTTTATTTTATTTGTGAGATATTTTGTTGGATTTTTGTATTGTTTAGTTATTCAGTTACTTACCCTGGGTCATGTGTTTGCTAAGATGAGATGCTCATCGTCCATGTTAACAATTATTAAATGTTGCTTATGAGCATTTAATCATTTAATCATTTGTATAATTACTGAGCATATGCAATTGAGCATCCAACACAATTTAATTCATGCATTAAATCTGTAACTTGGAATAAATTTTATTGGAATCTAATACTGGTTCTTAAAAAAAAAATGTTTACGTTAATAATATTTTAAATGCTTGTAAATGTGAAATTTAAAAGCAGAACTGAAAACAACCATCATTGACTCTTCAAAAGGTCTTGACTCAGATTTTATTTATATATTGTTTTGTAATATGCTTACATTTGTTTTAATTAAAAATTACCAATTAATATCTCTCAACAGTACTGCTATTAATATTTTTTGTTTAATTTGTGTCAAAATCAATAATTCCCAATATCAAAATCAACAAAATTTTAAATCTTTTAGACTACACGGTTCACCATGATTGCATTAAATAAACAAATTCCTTCCATAAGAATCAAAGACATGCACAGAGCATGTGTTTTGGAAAAAAGTATATACACCTTTTAAGGTTCTAATTCTACAATCATGTCAACAAAAAAAAAAAAAAAAAAAAAAAAAAATCTCGAATAAAACTGTGTTAACGAAAGTACATAATTTGTATTGCAAAATTCTTAGTTAATTACAAGACCTCACCAACTTCATGTCCCCAGTCATCCATTTAAGTCTTCAGATCGGGTAAGATTAGATCGATATCCGGACACACCCGGGGACCTAAGACCCAGCCAATGAAAAAGCAGCCACCAAGAGGATAAAAAAACGACGAGAAAGACAAGCTTCGTCGACGAGCTGAAAGACCTTTATTTCGTTATCTCAAAAAGTAAAGTTAAAAGTGAAGAGAAAAAGCAGGCACACTAGCTTGTTCGAGGAGGAAGATCGTAAGGGTGGGTGAGTAGTGAGTAGTGAGCTTGGCATCCTCCTCGTCGTCCGCCATAGCCACAAGCAATGGGACGCCATAGCCACAAGCACGAGGGGGGCGCCATAGCCGGGCTAAGCTTGACCTCAGTTAGAACTCCTTCCTTGCTTCCTTCCTTTCTTCGATCCTTTCTGGAGGAAATTTTCGGTTCTCTCGCAAATTGCAGCCATGATAGGGTCACGACTTTCCCCCTCTCCTCTTCTTACTACGTACAGTGCAGAGAGAGAACTCTCTGTAAGAATCCATATAAAGGTCTTTTGTCTCTGCTCGGTTGAGTCGATATATATATGCTTCGTTAAGATACTTCTTCGCTTTCCTGCCTCTTGTTGTGTAGAAGTATGCGGGGAGCAGACCTATCTTTCCGACTTCGAACTAGGATGGTTTAGGTGAGTGAGCTCAGCTTATGGTGGTCAGAGTACCTTATGGTGCGTTTTCTGTCTTTGTTTTTTAATTTTATTTTTAGTTGTTGTGAGTTTCTGTTTCGAATTCAGTTTTTGAGAAAGTTGTTCGCAGCTGAGCGTTGATGAGCGTCGGCGACTGTGTGTGTTTCGTTTTTTGAGTGAAAGGATCGGATTTGCGGATTGAGAGATGATGTAGTGGCGGATTCGATTGCAGCTGACGCTTTGCCGTCATTTATGACGTGCTCGTTATATGTCCGATGGGTTTGTTGCAAGTAGGGTTCCTCGTGAATTGGATATAGTGAGGGGATTCTCGTTTTCCCTCCTTGCAATGCTCACTGGGACTTACGCTCCTCCGAACTTCTGATCCATGGATCCTTCAGTAAATTTTCAATCAGCTGCATTTGAAGTGGGTGTGGTCTCACCAGTGACAGATGTAGATGCCTGAGCATTATTCTTGAAAGAATTCAGGGAATCTAGTTCGTGTATCGGACATAGGACTTAATTTGATTCTTGGATGATAGCGAATTTTCAAGAAGTCCACGTGTGTGAGCATGAATATTCCAAGTGTTTGAGGGTGTAGCATTCTGGACATGATAGACGTGGTCCTCCGCATTTATCACTGATTCGGGGTTTTCTTGTATAGTGGCAGAGAGGGAACTTGTGTTACCACCGTCTGAGTTCCAAGATGAGCCGGCTTTTCGAGATGAAATGCATGCTTCTGGGACTTCATTGAACTTTCATTCCTTAAGTAGGCCTTATTTCTTGTCCTCTGTGTAAGGTCCATCAGATGGCCGCTTGGAATGGAAGGCAATATGAACGAGGTGTACTCGGTTTAAGCAGAGTTGTCGAAGTTAGAGAGTGACAGTGGTAGGTGTATTCGTGCCTCTGATTAAAGCGTGGATGATCAGAATAGGAAATTGAGCATCATGGGAAGATGTAGAAATTTCTACACGTCATGATGTCTCTACAAGGTTCAGTCTTACCTTGGAGACTCCTTTTCGGTGGGGTTCAGTAGTTGATCATTCAGGAAGGTTCATTCCTTAACTGACAAGTTTGATGAGATACACTGATTGTAGCCAGTTTTCTAGGATAAATGTTGGGACCCAAGTAGAGCTAGTTTTTCGATGGTGTTTATACCCTTGGTTTAGTGATGTAGAGACAAACATTCGTAAAAGCAAAGTGCACTCAATTATTAGTCACTAGTTACCTGACTGATTTTGAAACATTGACACAAATTCCTGGAACCGATGTTGTTTCCTGTATCGATATTTGACACATTCGATAGGTTCTCGAATTATCGGCATAAAATTTTGGTTTAGTTGTGTTAAAGTTGCTGGTAAGTACTTAGGAAGTTGTTCAAGCAGTTGCCGCCCAGTTCTGCAAGATTCATAATGACATTGGAAGAATCCTTTGCATATTCGTTATAAGATACACTTCAGTATAGCTTAAGCACTTGGGTTGAGGCAAGCGTGATAGTGTTCTGACATGGGGAGAGCTTTGATGATGGGTTCGTGGATAGAATGAATTGTGGTAGTAGGTCAGGTTCATGGAGGGTTGAATCTTTGGTTCATTGATTTGTGGGATTCGTCAGTCCGATTCGAGAACTACAAGAATGTAATAGTGCGACTGTTAGTAGCCGAAAGATACGGTTTTATTGACTCAGTGGGGCTATCAATGTGCTTGTTTAGAATTCCTCATCTGTTGCAATGAAAGCAAAGCATTGGTGCTATTTAGAGAAGCTTCAACGGACTCGATGACTTAACATGGTTGTTGATCACTTTTCTGAAATCCACAGGTTTCTGTTCGGGAACTGAATGCTTGAGTATTATATTCGCGTTTAACGAGATTCCTGGTTTAGTGGAAGCGTGTAACCATCTCACAGACTATAGCTTGTGTACCTGGATTCCCTCGTTACGCCTATGGTCTCTTGTGATGAATAGTACTTCTCTCTAGGGGTGAACTTTTATGATGGTCATTGTTTCCTGTTCGCTTGTGATTGTTTACTTGTGTTCACAACGCAACATATTTTGCAATGCTTTCTTGGCAGTTTAGTCTTTCGGATATCTGCCACCAGTAAGACTGAACTTTATGTGTACTTGGGTACAGAAATGTGGCAGAGGTTTGAACTAAGTTTACTTGCAGTTTTCGCTTCTTAACTGAATACAACACGAAATTGCTGGACAACAAGGTCGACGAAGTGCTTTGATACACATTGAAAAATTCATGAAAGTACCATGTGGCTGGATGCGGGGATTCATGAATAGAGCTTCTAGGGGAAGTTATTGATGGGAGAGGTAATGGGTGTTTTCAGTGATGGAGGCTAGTGGAGAACCTTTTGATTCTGGGGGTAAAGAAGATGTTATCTTGAAACAAGAAGCTAGCAGAGATGCCATCAACGCATGAATAGAATGAACTAGGTTCTGGCTATGAGCAGATGAGAGATGTTTGAGTGGTTGACGAAAATGGTGATCTCTTGTTGGCGTCCTGCAAAGAGATGTGCGCACGGGCAGGGTGTGACTGATTGTCAAGACCCACTGTTGTGGGGTAGGGATCTTTGCTCACATGCCTTAGGGGAATTCTCTTATGCAGTTGTTCAGGCTAATGGTATTTTGGAGGACATGAGTCAAGTGGAGTCTGGCTCTTTTGGTACATATGTGGGCGTCTATGACGGGCACGGAGGCCCCGAAGCTTCCCGTTGCATCAATGAGTATTTGTACAATTTTGTACTAAATAATATTACAGAACAAGGAGGTATGTCGTGTGACGTTCTATGCCGAGCTTTCAGGGAGACGGAAAACAAATTTTTTGATATCGTCCGGAGGGCTTGGCAAATAAAGCCGCAACTTGCTGCTGTTGGGTCTTGCTGTTTAGCTGGAGTGGTTTGCAGTTCCAAACTGTATATCGCCAATCTCGGCGATTCTCGAGCAGTTTTGGGAAGTTTCTCCCCTGACACTGGTTCTGTAGCTAGACAAATATCACACGAGCACAATGCAAGTATCGAGGCAGTTCGTAATGAGCTGCATGCGCACCACGAAGATGACCCACAAATTGTGGTTTTGAAACATGGCGTGTGGCGTCTGAAGGGCCTGATTCAAGTTACTCGTTCAATTGGCGATTTTTACTTGAAGAAAGCTGAGTTTAATAAGGAGCCTCTTATAGCTCGATTTCGACTTCCAGAGCCTCTGAAGAGGCCTGTCATGAGAGCAGAGCCGGAATGCAGCGTTATCAAGCTCAGTCCACAAGACGATTTCGTTATTTTTGCGTCTGATGGACTATGGGAGCACTTGAGCAATAAAGAAGCTGTTGATATTGTATATAGTAATCCTCGAGCTGGAATTGCTAGGCATCTCATCAAAGCAGCTCTTCAAGAAGCTGCCAAAAAACGTGAGATGCGTTATTCTGATCTCAGGAAGGTTGAGCGGGGGATACGACGACATTTTCACGATGATATTACTGTTGTGGTTGTCTATTTGGACCCAAAATTGCTCAACGAACCGAGTAATACTTCTAATCCCATTTCTGCGAAATGTCCAATCGACATGCCTCAGGGTAATCGTCGTCGTAGTTAGCCAACCCAAACACCGACATGTGGCAGTTCCACTTTACTGGATTTTGCATGTCAATACGTTTGCAAGAGGTCAGCTGACTGGAGACGCCAATTGCTAACTCAAAACTGCTAGAAAGCTTTAAAATATTATTGTGATATCCTTGTTTGCAGTATCCATAAGTTGAGTTGTTTTCTTTATAGTTTGGTAGATCACAAAAGGTGTTAACACTTATCTGATGATGCTTCATCGCTTCAAGTATGGATCTAGCTCCACAGTAGCTGAGTCAACTACGAATGATGAATGCGGATGTACAGTACGTGACTGGCCACTCCCTATGCTACTTCCTTTGATCTGCCTTATGTATCTGACCCATTTTTGCTGGACCACCATGAGATCCGAGATTCTATTCTAGCTGAAAACCAGGTTTGTCTTGTTTTCTTTCGTATATTTCAAATTGTATCATAACCTAGTGTTTACAAACCTAGTTTTTCATTATGTTATCCACGGAACCTTCCATTCTGTGGTTCAGCTAGCTAGTAGGATCAAGGATGTATAAGTTGAAGTCACTAGGCAGTAGGCTTAGCGATGAAACTGCAACCCAGGAAGATTCTGCAGGAAAATCCTTTAAGTAAATCAAAGGCAACTGCAGAGAACGGTCAATCTAATTTCACATGATGTGTATTAAATCTAGCTGAGTTTTGTTTCATACCATGAAATCTTATGAGATTTTCACTTTGGGTTTAACCTTACAATTGCTTGCTTTAAGATATGCCATGTAAAATTCTTTCTATGTCCTTACCAACAATTACACCAACAAATATCCTATTTCACTTATCTGGACAATTGATCACCAATTAACCAAACTATTTTTTTTACATGAGCATAAACAAACCAACACACCTAAAAAATCCACACACAAACATATCAGTTTCTGTTCAATATATATATATATATATATATATATATATTATAATTTGCAACATGCAAATTTTATTATTTTTACTTACTTTTCTATTTTTCACTGTAATTAGTTTTATTGATATGTACTTTAAAGTAGTATTTAAACAACAAAAACATAAGATTATAAAATAAAAAATTAACAAAGTTTATGTTGCAAGTGTAATACAACTTTTTTTTATGTTTAGCAAGCTCCACCATTCAATTACAAAACAAATTCTTGCATTTGTTTTAAGTTATTTGGTATAGAGTATTCTATATTTTAGTTTGAAATATAAATTTAAAGTATAAATTAGTTTTCTACCAAATTTTTAAAACAAATTTAAATTGATTGTTTTCATAGAATTTATTACTTCAACAGAAATATACTTAAGTAAAATGATAAATTATATACTTTGTAAAACTGTAATACAAAACGATAATATTAAAACTGTATTTCTAGAAATAAATAAATAATTCTGTTGATAACATAATTTTCAATTTAGAGTGTTTGATTGAGTTTATTGTCAAAATCAAACTCACACTGATTGTTTTGTTTTGCTTTGTTTTGTTTTTTTGATTAAATTAATGTACTTGAAGCAACTTCAACCATCTGAGCATCATGTTTGTGTATATATATATATATATATATATACATTTATTTTTCTTATTAGCAATACAAATCAATTTATTTATTACATTACAAGTCCAAATTTTTTTAAAGTAATTTTTTATTGATATTGCAATATTCTATTTTTAATTATTCTGTTAACAAATGATTATTATCAATGAAAATTAAAATAATAGAAATTATATAATTTTTTAAAGATATATATATATATATATATATATATATATATATATATATAGAAGGAAAATTTTGATCTTTTATAAAAAAATAATTTCTTTTATATTTTATTTTGATTTTAATTGTTGTATGAACTTAAAATTTAATATATATATATATATATATATATATATATATATATATATATACACACTTAATTAATTTTGAAGCAGCTACTGTGAATAATAATATTTACATCTAACTAAGATCTCTTGCAATATATTGATTTATTTTAAAACATTCTAAATTTTATTTAGTAAAATTTAAAAATACCAAGAACAATTCTATATAATTAAATGGTATGAGTTACTTAACCGTTATTTTTCTAATTTGCTATTACTTGGTTTACATTTTATACTTTTATATATTTTTATTAAAATTTCTAATAGTAAATTTTATAACTACTTTATTTAAACATGTATAATTTATATCAATAAATGTTTTTCCAACAATCACTTCAACTTCACAATAATTCAATTGCATTTACACACTTAATTAAAACATAGTGAATTTTTCAAAAGGCAAATAAATAAAATACGAAATACTAGCATATTAACATTATAAAGTAAAACATCATAAATATTTAACTGGTCTAAAATAATTTTTATTATTATTATTATTATTATTATTATTATTATTATTAGTAAATTAGAATCTAATAGCTTTAATATTGAAAAATGTTTTTTAAATATTTATGCAACAATTTCATATCTATTTTATTACCAAAAATTATTACCATTTTTTTTTTTCTAAAACTTTACATTATAAATCATTTTAAATTTTTGATATAATTTTAAAAATTGATTAAATTATTTACTAACTAGGTTATTTGTAATGCTACTTAGTTCAACCACATTGATATTTATATAGGTATGTATATATATATATATATAGATACAGATATAGATATAAGATTAATTTATAAATATTTTTTTATTTAAATCATTATAATTAAATATTTATATATTTCTATTGCTTAAATTTTTGAAAGAATAAAATTGTGAAGGACATTTACATTCATGAAAGTAAAAAAAATAGTAAATGTTATTATAAAAATATACAGTTTTTTTTAGGGTTCTATGAACAAAAACTTAAAATAAAATAAATATAATACATCTAGCATAGGACACAAATATGTTAGTATCTCCCTTGGATATTTTGTTACCCCCAAGACTTCAAAGCGGCAAACCAATACTCCTCAATTGAGCAGTAAAACAGATAAAAAGCCGTATTTTTTTTTTTTTTTTTTTTTTTTTTTTTTGTCAATTTTCAATTTTCATTTTGGTTGAGAGTCAGTGAAGGTATTATTTATTGCCCATTGTATCTGGCATGGTCTCCTTCAGCTCCCACGCCAAAGAGATGTATAGCAATTCTACTGTAGCCTCGAATCCTGCATCAAAGCAGTACATGTATGAATGAGGACTCTGGATGAGGCAGGTAAAATTGGTGCATTAGCCAACGCCAGGATTCCATAAGCATTTTTTCCTGCAAATCCCATCCCAAGTACATGATTTTATCACTGTTTTTATATCATTCAAGCTGACAAATTCCTCGCAACTTCGACCAGTTGTAGCTCTTACAGGTGCTTACTTCGGTGCTTTCCCAACATAGCCCAATTCGTTTTTATGTGCAGAGAGGGGGTGTATCTGTCCGTGTGCAAACAAAATATATATTTTGCGAAACTTGGAGGTTGTACCCTCGTGCAAAGGAATAGAATAATACTCGTCTTATTCAAGAACCAAATCGGAGTCGAGTCCCAACATGTGAATATTCTAGAAAAAACAAAAACAGAAACAAGAGATACTCTACTGGAACATGGATAGATTCTCTGAATGCTGATATTACTATTTCCGAAATCATAAGCATGTTACTAATTGCTTCCTTGTGGTGCAGTTTTTGCAACGCTTGGAAACCTGGCAAGCTACCAGAGTCAGCTACGTTTTCGAATCTTTTTTCAATACAACCAGTTGCCTAGAGGAACCCGAAAGTCTGATTCTAATGGCTGAGGTCAACTTATTCAGATTGTAGAATCTTGTAGTGCAGTAATGTGCGAGCTTGAAAGTAGGTAGCGACAATATGCAAATATCCAGGCCACAAAGTGAGAGTGGTTACATTACCCAATACAGAAACTACACATTTCGGGAAGTAGTACTATTAGTAGAAGAAGATAGCGAAGGCTATATAATGTACAATTTACTGAACCATAGCCCCAGAAACCAGCTGGGGGTTATACAAATAATTGTATTGAAAAAACACAAGGAAATGATGGAATACTGCCTAACATAACCTCTCACGTATCACTTCGACGCACGCTCATTTCCGACGCCAGCTTAGCTAGAAGCAAACAACTGAAGTGCTCAACTCCACCACTGAAAACTTTGAAATAAATAAAATAAATAAAAACTCAAATAGAGAAATTCTCATTGGGTCAATATTCAGATCTGAACAGAACTACATATACTGGTGAGGGCCTGAAAGAAGAACCCCGCTCAAGGGCCGAGTGGGTGTTGTGGAGGTTTTCAGAGGCCTGGGATCCAATTGTCCAGAGAATTTGAGGTTCCGTGATTCCTCCGCTTTGGGATAAGTCAGACGCTTCATGGTGGCTGGTGTCTTCAACGCACCCGGTGGAGTCGGCCTTGCTTTGGGCTGGCTCCGAGCTCGGGCCTTGTTTTTCACACTGAGCGTTTGTTGCAAGTGGCCTGCAACAATGGGAGGACTCTTCGCCTCCGTGTCGACGATGACACCATTCCGAACAGGGCCCGTGTTGCTATAACGCGTACCATACTTGGGGTCTGTCAGAATGTTCGTCGTGGTTCGACCTGTGCCTGATATCTCACTCCCGGATTCTTCCAGGTCGTCGTGACGATCGCTGCTGCCTCTGCTTCTGGGACTTGCAGCTCGAGACTTGGACTTGATAGGCATTCCGTGGCTGTTGAGCACCTGTGAGGTTCGAAGCGCACCGGAGTGAGCTTTGAGGTGTGTGTTCACTAAATCGCCGCAGCTAGCACGGACTTGAGGAGCCCCAGGCTTGGGAGTCGTACGCTTGGGATCCTTCCTTGTAGCATTCACGTCAACACTCTTGGATACTTGACCATCGTGGATGTCCTTGAAAGCTGAAGGAGTCTCAAAGATGCGACTCTCCCATGGCCGTGCTGCTGTCCATCGCTCCATGTAGCTCCAACCCCAGTGGGGCTTGTCTGGTTCGCATTCGATGAAGAGTGGCAGGACTTGCTTTGGTGCTACGCGTCGGAGGTGCTGCAAAGTATGCCAATGCCTCGATCCGTGTGAGTAACTTCTACTTGCTGTCAGTCCAGTTACAAGGCATACATGTGGAGTTTGTACTGTAAAGCATAAACTGCGTCCATCTGAATGGGTGGTGAAGAAAAACCCATTAGCTTTAGAAACAATTAGGTGGGTTGAAAATCAGAGACCTGCTGTGTCCTTGCATAGGCCAAAGCTCGTTCCCTTTTGAGCGCCGCTACTTGTCTCTCCTGCACTTTGGCCTCTATCTGTTGCGCGCTTAAGTTGCTATCGTTCCAGCCCGCTTCGGTCAACCATTCCTAAAAAATTCGAAGTCCTTCGATGATTATTTGAACATGGTTTATATGATGTTCTGAGCAAGAAAACAACTGACCATAAAACACACAAAATTTCAACAGTCTAGTACAGCCAAAAGCCGAAAAAAAAAACTTGATAGCAGATGCATATGTCTAAACGAGTTTATATTGATATAAATAGTGGGATAAGTCCACACTTACCGAGCTTTTTCTGGATGCTGGCTGGTCCCGCTGCCAGATCTGATGCTGAACAGTCAGGCCATCCTCCGACATACGAAATCGATGAGCTCTAATTCTACCCTGAACGCGAGCAAGGGCTTGCATACTTCTCATGGTAGTATTTGCCTGCCGGATCACTCTGTGACCTCGAACAAATTCCTGAAGTCTGACCAAACCCCTTAGAGCACGTAAAGTTTTCCTTGCCTGCGATAGCAATTGTCGCATTTGTGAGGGCAACGCATAACAAAAACAAAAAAACAAAACGATAATAATAATGAAGGAGAAGAAGAAAATCAATGTACATATAACCTGAGTCATTATCACTCACGAAACAAACTCACTAAGGGTATAAAGTTGAAAAATGACACAGTGACTCATCCAGTTTGTACCAGATAACCTCGAAAAGCAGTTTGGATAACCACAGCTGCCCATTCTTCTTGGGATGGGTACATGTACATCGTAAATTTGCTATTGGATTGAACAGACGTTTCTCTTTGATTGACATCAGGCTCCTTTTTCTCGGTTTCCTTGTGTTCTGAAAGGGCTAACTTGCCGAAGCTCCACCGTCGCACTTTGTGCTTTGGCTTTTCCGGAAGCTTCAAGAAATTGAACCATTAGACGCATGCAGAGAAGATTCAAAGGCAACACAAATAAGCTTGAGCTGACATCTATAGAAAGGCTTAGAAATTCAAGTGGCTCTTTACTGGTTGCAATGCTTCACCAGGAAAAGTATTCACAAAAGGTTCCAGAAACGAACGGATCACGCTCACTACATGCTGGAAAATAAAAATAATAATACTAATAATAAAAATAACAATAAATGCATTCGTGTCCCCCTTTCCTCGCCATTCCTCAGGTTAGATCCCTCAGCTAACTTATGAAGCAACATCATTCAGTGGAGGCTGCCGAGCATTACCACTGCCAGAGGACGTATGTCACCAAAAAGATCCAGATCTTTGGCCTCAGATTCTTCACAATCTCCATTCTTGATTGGGGACTTGAAAGCATTTTTAACAGACGTAAGCCATTTATCTTTCTTCCCCATCTTTCTGCAGCCACCACAAGGACATGCCATCCACATACTCCCCTGAATCCATAAGAAACCCAGAGCCACAATTGAAAAGACCAGACAGGAAATAGTAAATATGACCGTATCTGCGTTAGAAATATATATATATATATATATAAACAATAATTGATTAATTAATTCATCAAAAGCACCTAGAGGATAGCATGCAGCTTGATTCTCATGAACGAACGCCCAAATAGGACGAAAATTCCTTTGTAAGGCGACCGTAACTGCAATTGACCATAATACTCCTTCTCGTTGATGGTCTTTACATGAGGCTTCTACGAAAACCGCTCATATACTCATGTCCTCTGATATGCAGGTATCTGTTAAATACACCACATTCTTTGAAAAAGCAATCCAGAAACAAGAAATTGTGTTGCAACTAACAAAAACCACCTGCGATGCGTTCTAAAAGATCATGCTTGACCTGGTGTAGGTTATGGCAAAATGGAAGGGATGAGCAAGTGAGAGACAATACCCACCCCAGGTTCTGTTTCTCTTTATAAGCACAAAGTAGCTAGAATACACTCGAAGGCGGTTTAAGAGCATATATCCTAACACTTACACAGCTGTTCTGTACCTATATCAGCACTTATGCAACTAAATACCCCAGAACTTAACATACCAGTGCTGTAAAATATAATAAATCCTCCGCATTAGCTTTAATATTTGGGCCATCACTCAATGCTCAGCAGTGTGATTTGGAAAATTATGATTAACTCGTAAATAACTATCGAACTCAGTAGAGCATATGCAACATAATTGCTGGAAGAGGCAGGTTCAAGTGAAGAAGCATGACAAGCAGGTGATGTGTTACTCTCAGGTACAGAAACGCAACAAGCAGGTTAAAAGCTGCTGAGATACAGGAAGGTCAAGCGTACGTAGGTAAAGTTGCTAAAATGCGTAAACCATCGACGAGACAAGGGGATGTGGACAGCATAGACAAAGACGGTATAGACAAGGACATGACCTTAAACCAAGTATCCCGAATAACCAAGCAACGCAGAGTACAGTGTAAAATATGATATACAACCAAGGCAATAGGTGAGGCATAAAGCACCGGCCATTCTAAACACTAATAGGCAGTGTTCAAGGATTGCTTATACATGTCTCAAAAAGTGAAGACAATGGAATAGAAAACAATGCAGGAGTAGTGTGAAGTCTAAAGAATCCTTCGAAAGGATCCTGAAGCTTAGAGGGCTGCGCTCTTCCCCCACCCCAGGGACCCACACAGAAAACCTAGAAGTAATGCCTGCCCTCTGAAACCATCAAGTTCCTTTCAAAGGTCCCTGAACTACACATGACTCCGACGCTGCCAAAAACATTTTGCTGAAAATCCAGCGGCATTCTCAGCCCGAATTGATCATACTAATGACAACAATGAGATTTCATACACAAGGCAAGGTTCATAAACCCCTGAAGTCAAAGATTTCAGTGATTCTGGCCCAACATAGGTATCATGACATTAATTGGAGCCCAAGTGCGTAGCTGCTGCAACGAGATTGAGGTCCATCTCGACTCAAAACGTAATGAATCTTTCGCAGACCAGGTACAACTTGCAGGCATGAAAAAGCAGATTTCAAAGTGCGAAAACCACGACTGAAATTCAGCATAAAAAAGAAACAGCCGGCAAGCGAACCACCTACGCCCACAGCCACAAAAATCATCGGCATGTAAGGTTACCGACCAACCTTTGTTCAAGATCCTCTAGAAGCTGAAAAGCCTCCCTCCCCCCTCTCTGCGACGCACACTCCCCGCATTCGCCACCAGTAAAACGTGTCTCCGGATGCTTCGTCACGTCCAACCTGATCGTAGGCACTTATACCTCGTATCTCCCGCTACAAACCATGTGAGCGCACCTACTCTTCACCTGAAAGTTCTTCTCGCCAATTCGCTAAAACCTTTTTTTTTCTCTAAAAATCCTCGCACACTCACATACCGCTAAAACCGCCAGGAAAGACTAACCCACAGTCGACACCCTGCACATCGCACTCCAACCACCTCAAACCACCTCCAAGTACAGATTCTCACATCTGTAACCCCTACCCAACTCAGATCGTCGCCATTTTAGACCATCGACACACACTAAACACCAAAAACCATTTCCCAGTGTCATTTTCCCATCTTACAGAGCAACCTGGAGCTCCGTTGCCCCCACCTCTCGAATTGACTTGACTCAGGTGCTCCCAAACCCCACCGACACTCTCGGTACCAGATTCTGGAGCTGGTGAGGACGACGGATTACTACGATGGGGAGTGATGAGGAGGAGGATCTGCACGGCGACTCATCATACTTGAGTTCCCAGAGCAGGCTGGCGGTGTAGAGAGTATCAGATGAAATCATGAAAGTGCGGGAATGGCAGGTAGACAAAGCGAGAACGATTGCGCCGTGCAGGTGGAGCTCCCGTCAAGGGTGCGATCGGCCGGCTTCGCTGTCGTGGAACTGAAGTGATATCCTCGCGCCATGGGGATACCCTGCCCTTCCGGGTGACAGATCGTATCAGATCCGCGTCATGTTTGGCTTTCGGTGTCATACCAGGCGTTACCTGGAAGAAAAAAAAGTCCAAGCCCACTTCTGTTCTTCTCCTTGCAGTGATGTGAATTCCCTTACAAGTTCATGTAATTCTGTTCAAGCATCCATTCCATGTTGTTGCACTACCTGGAGCAACAACATGATTTGACTTTGGCATAACTGTCCCTGACAAATCAACTTCAAGCTCACAGTATTTGAGGACACCGCCAGTACATTTTAAAAATTTTACTAAGTTCGTTTCACGAACTTGCCTGATGTTTACTCGGCGTTGATGTAAAAAATAAAATTAATAAAAATAAATAAATAAATGGGTTGTCTGTTTCGCGTGTTGTCATCTATGAACCAGTGGTGTGCACTAGGAACTGGAATTGGGGTGGGTGTTGAGAATGCCCAGCTCACACTCATGACAGCATTCTATCTGTAGCTCATGGAGGAAGTAAAAAAAAAAAAAAAAAAAAATGTAACAAATGGAGTCCATCACAGTATTCTCTCTCTTCCTCTCTCTCTCTCTCTAGATCCAACCACACAAGTAATTCCAAGGTCATTTTAAAATAACTTGTACAAATCTCACGACGCAGAACCCCTCCACATTGAGCCACGGAGGTGCGGCTTCTGTGACAGTTGTGTTATTTTTGTCTTTGTGTTTTTTTTTCTTCTTCTTTTTGTGTCTTTCACACGAGTGGAGTAAACGAAAGTTTTCACTCCAGGCTTGGTCCAGGAAAAGCTGGACTGATCCGATGTTGCAGAAGCACCAGGCAGCAGCACCCCCACGGGCACCCACTCAACTGAATGATGCATTCCTGCCAGTTACCAACATTACCAGAGTCATGTGCAACTCACCCGAAAATCAGGCCCTAATGCGGTCGCGTTCTCATGAGTATTCTGCCCCCACCTGCACCAAGAAAAACTACTCCCTCGTGCTCATCTTCGTGACTTTTCTCTGATCCACAGCCCATGTTTTACAAACTTAACCTACCCAAGGACCAAGCAGGAGGAGGCTAGGAGGAGACTAGGTGTAAGGATCCTCGTCACAACACAATGGCGCTTGCTTTGTTTCCTTTCGCGTCCTTTCTGAAATTTCTCACCAGCAAGCATAGAAACAGCCTTTGCATATCAAGATGGTGACATTCTCCAGGACCGTGTACTTTCACACAACCAAATTCTGCATCGGACTTCCTCCGTATTGTCACACGATTCAATGATTCTCAAAGTGGTGAAAAGAACCCCACACAACCCACACACATGTCTAGAACTCTGACTTGATTCCAGGTATCAATCCAGGATATTACCTAGATCTAGATCACGTTGAAGCGTTGCGACGAACGTCTCGACTGCTGATGTGCTCTGATCCAATACTTGTCGACTTCGGAACCGTTGCGCCGTACAGTTTTACTTGCAGGCTGCCATGTTTGCTTCGTTGTTGATTTGATTTTTGGAGGTCATTCCGACTTGTGGGTGTTGCAAACAATAAGTCTGTGCTGAATCGTGAATGTGGAACTGTGCAATTCACTGTCGGCGTCTCTCTGTCTTGTTGTTGTTGTTGCGGTGTGGAAGACATTGTTGGTGGGAGATATGACATAATTTTTGAGCTGTGAGCTTCGGAATCCCACACTGGAACCGAGAATGTTGCAGTCACATGTCACGCATTAGCAAAAAACCCATTAAATGGGTTTTATAATTCCGGCTCTACCAAATCATTCCCTTGTTTTGCGTGTCAATACAACTATTTCTACTTTAGGTTTTCAGGTCAGAAACCGAAGAAGTGTATTTTGTGAAGTGCCAAAATCTGGACCACCACAAAAAACGTGCAGTTATTTGTATGTGCCTGACATTGTTAATGTTACCAACAGTAACAGCCTGGTTGTATTATAATGCATTATATTATTAAAAAAAAAATTATTTTTATATGGCCCCATTTTGTAGGCCCCTTCAGATATGCTCATAGTACATGTTTGTTTTGCATACTTTAGATCAATATTTGTAAGTTAGGTTTTTTCTTTCTTCATTCTAGATGGGGACATTGTGCTGTGGACTTGTTCATATAAAAGATTCTTGCATATCCCAAAATCATATGACAGTGAGTTTCTATTTCTTGAACATGAAGATATTGATTTGGTTAAAAATATGCTTGTTAAGGACAAAGACTCGATGAGGGAAAATATACACAAAAAGGCTATCTCGATATAATAAGTCAAAATATAAACAAGTAGGTATATTAAAAGGAAACTAGAATGGCTATTGCCACAAGACAAGAAACTAAAGACTCTTGAACTTGAACTAGAAGCAAGAAAAGAGTTGACAAGAGTGAAGAAGCCTTCACTCTTGTCTCTATATATACTATCTAACTAGGGGCTACGTGGCAACGTTCTATAGGACCTCCAATATGTGTTGACTTTGTAGGACACATGCCTTGACTTACAAGGCAAGTTTTTCTACGTGTGGGCCACATAGTTAGCTTGATCTTCAAGCTAACAACATGTGTGGCACATGGCCAACTTGTTGACCACGTTTCTAATCCAAAAAGTCAATTAAAGACACCTATGAAGTCAAAGCAGCGTCTACGAAGTTTCTAAGAAGCTTTTATATTAAATATTATAGAATTAACTTACTTTTATCTACTTTTACTTACTTCTACCTATTTCTATATGTAATTATTAGCTTACATGATTATGGCCGTGACATTACCCCCCCTTCTAGAGACGTGTTCCGCGAGGAGCGGTCATCATATGTTGAGGAAATCTATGATGCGACGAATTGTATTCGCCACATACTCTGATCTCTGTTCTCTTCGAAGATGATTGATAGGGCCTCTCAACCATCGGTAGTGTCCCATATCAGGGCGGGAAGACCACCCAGTTATTTGATCATTGTTGATGCCTTCGTAACTTCCTTCGAATAGAATATTTGGAACACCATCAGGAGTTGTTCCTACCTCTAGCAAAATCACCAAACATCGGGAGTCCCTTCCCAAATCGTGATACCAAACGCGTTGTATATCACCATCTATTCGAGGAAGAACATGTCGTTCTTGAAGATCTTCATCTCAATTGCGTCGTCTTGAAGGTTGTGACAATCGTAATGTCTCGTCCGACAGGTCAGCAAACGAAGGTTCTTGAGTTGAATCCACTGGTTGTTGGCTCTCCATCTAATTAGCGTCACAAAAATAAAGAAGTTACAAACAAGGATAGAAAATTGAATGTTATCTTGCCTCAATCTTGTCTCTTTTATAAGAGAGATTTTCATCTTGGTTTTGATGGATGTCGTTGATGAAAAACTTTGACTTTAGCTAATGCATTTGCTAGATTCTTGGATGGCTCCCATGTGCGTTCACTAATATCATATCCGCGCCAATGAACAAGATATTCCAGCTTATTTCGGCGCCACCTTGAGTCTAATATCTCTTCCACCTCAAATTCTTCATTATTATCTACTTCTATAGGAAGTGGTGGCATTTGTCTTCTTCCTTGTATATCCACTGTCTTATATGGTTCAAGAAGAGACACGTGGAATACAGGATGGATCTTCATTGACTCTAGTAGATGTAACCGATATACAACTGGGTTGATCTGTTCAGAAACAGAAAAAGGGCCAAGCCTACGATAGTCCAACTTGTCACAAGGTCGAGTAGTCTTGATATTGCGACGAAGTAGCCATACCTTATCACCCACGTTGAGTTGTGGTTGCTCCTTACGATATAGATCTGCATTTATCTTTTGTCGTTCTTGAGCTTCCTTCAATTGCGTCTTCATTATTGCATGTAACTCTGACAACCGATTTGCCATATCTTCTGCTGCATGATTATCAACTTTTGAAAAATCAAAAGTATCAAGTCATGGATGATAGCCATAATTGGCAAAGAAAGGTGTTTGTTGCGTGGAAGAATGTACCGTATTATTATAAGCAAACTCTGCCAATGGCAGAAGGGTTGTCCAATCATCTTGTTGGTAGTTGATAGTACACCTTAAATATTGCTCCAAGACTTGGTTTACGCACTCTGTTTGTCCATCAGTTTGAGGATGGAAAGCCGAAGATAGCTTTATGTCCACTTTTAAAATCTTGAAAAGGGTCCTCCAAAATCTTGACACAAATTGAGTTCCCCTATCCGATATGATATCTTTAGGTAATCCATGATAGCGATAGATATTATCAATGAAAAACTTAGTTGTTTCTTCACCTATGATAGATTTTGTACATGGCACAAAATGTGCCATCTTGGTGAAACGATCTACTATCACAAATATAGAATCATAAGATCTTGAGCTTGGAAGATCTGTGATGAAATCCATAGAAACAGAAGACCATGGTTGTTCTGGTATAGGTAATGGCTGAAGAAGTCCGTAAGGTCGATGATGAGGAATTTTTGATCTTGAACAAATATCACATGATTGTAAAAAGTCTTTGACTGACTTCCACATTTGTGGCCACCAAAAATCTCTTGATATGAGTTCCAAAGTCTTATTATATCCAAAGTGCCCTGCTGCTGGAAAGTCATGACGTGCTTGAAGAACACGTAAACGTGCTTCTCCTTCTGGAACATATAGGCATCCTTCAAAATATAATAGATTATTCTTGAACTCGAACTTAGAAGGATCATGAGACTTCAAAGAATTATTCTCGATATCATGAACAAGAGGGTCTGAGGACATACTGGACTGGATTTGCTTGAGAAAAGTTGAATCAACAATCAATGTTGATTTCATTGCTCAGAGATGAAATTGCTCCGGTTTCAAGAGGACCGTTCTTTGTTGCTCAAAAGCTGCATCTCCTTCTTTTGGTACAAAATAAAAACGTCTAGATAGGGCATCGGACAAACCTTGTTGTTTTCCTGGTCGATAAGTGATAATGAACTCGAATCTTGACAAAGACATACTCTAACGAGCTTGACGATGATTCAATACGCGTGCTGACATGAAATACTC